CCCGCTCCCCCGCTCGGGCCCGGCTCCCCCGCTCGGGCCCCGCTCCGCAGCCGTGAGGGCGGTGCAGGTGGGCCGGGAAACGCCGCAGGGCCTGGCGGGACTCGCGGGCTCCCCACACGGAGAGAGGGGAGGGTTCACCGTTCTCTGCCGGCTGCCTCTTCTCCTCTTGGAAAAGAAAGGGGAATTTTGCATTTCTCGGGCTCTCCCCCCTTCGTCGTGACCTTGGGAGGCCGAAGCAGCGCGTCTGTGGGTGTTGAACAACTTCCTCGCGGGGAGGGAGCTCTCAGCTCCCGAGACAGCCATTGTTTATTTCTAACTGCGGGAGGCGAAGCTCCTTATCACAAAGGTTTCAAATTAGAGCAGTTTCACAAGCTTGAGCCGCGGGGTTGGGCATGAAGGACTTGTAGATTGTGCCAAGAGTGGACCTCATCTGGTAAAACCCTTCCAGAAAGTCCCTCGACTGATGTTATTTTCAGAGTATTTGCTTTCTGATGAGCAATGATGAGAGGATGCTCATCAAAGCTATTAGCTTTGTCCTGTGAAGGCTGTGAGAACTGCTCATAAAATTTGGCTTTTTTTAAAAAAATGGTTTTTTTAAGTTGTCTCAGATTTAGTGCCTCAACACTGCTATTTCTATTTTCGTGTTCTCTCCCTTATTTTTTGTAAGAAAGAGATGTTGTAGTTGATTGTTAGCACTGCTCCCACTGCTGTTGTACCGCATGTGCATTTGATTCCTCGTGTCCAGTCGCCAGGGTAGCAGACACAAAAACAAATCAGATGAGATTTGCAGTAGTTTTTGGGGATCCTTGAGAACAAAAGGTCCCAGAGAAGCACATTGTTTTCTTGAGAACATAATTTATCAGTCTAGTCAAAAGCAGTGTGGGAGTTGAGGTTTTTTTATTTAAAAATCCACTTTCTGCAAATTTAGAGGAGCTTGTGATATTGTAAAGATGTTAAACAGTGTGACAACCTTTCAGTCAAACTAGGCTTTATTTATTTATCCATTTCACCTCCCTCTTTTAATAAGAGGGCATCCCTTTGTGGATTTAATTTAATTAATTTGTGGGGTTGGAATTGCCAGAACCTGTAGTCCTGGGTCATAGCTGAGCCTTTTGGAGCCTTCCTGCCCAGGGAACATGGAAGACAGCTTTGACTCTGTATTTCTTTTGGATGGAGCAGATGCATTCATATTAATTAGTTATATTTTGAACTTATGAGCATTCTGGTGTTGCCACAATATAAATTTCATTGCTTCAAAGGAACATTACAGCAGAATTACATAAGTATGTCCTAAATAACAGCCTCTAAACCAAATGTCTTTTATTTAGCTTTTTGATGTGAATTTTCATGTTTGCTGTTTCCTCTGTCAGAGTTTCTTTCCTCTGTTAAGTCAGCTCCCAGTTTCTGAGTGTAAGATATTTGACAGTATATCCAAGGGGAGAGAAGCATCTAGTGGTGCTGGTTCTGAGCATAAGGAGCTTTGAGACTGGCTCATTTCTCAGGAGCAGGAATCATCATTTCAACAGCTGTAAGTATTTTTTAGGAAAACTCCCCTGAAAGTGGTTTCACCTGCGTCTGCTTCTTCACTTAATGTAGTGAATTTATATAGTTCACTCTTACTCTGGCTTTACCTTAAATTTTTTTTGTAGGATGGACTTAGAGCTCCTGAAGAGGCTGCGCCAGGTCAACCAGGACCTTCTACAAAGGCTGAAAATGAAGCAGGAAGAGATCAGAAAGAGAATTCCCAGCAAGCAACTCCTTCCAGCATCTCTTCATAGCAGTACAGCTGCTGACAGATGTGTCCCCTTGCCCAGGAGAGTGGTATGTGTGGTGTCTGTGCTAGAAATTCGGGGAAGAAAATGGGATTCTGTGACAGCAGCTCTGCCTGTGGTGTGGTCACAAGAGACATATGGATGTGAAAGAGCTCTTAGAAGGAGTATGGAGTCTGTTAAAAAAGTAGCTGCCCTTTGGATATTGTTTGTTCTGTGGTCTCAGTCTGTTCTTCTGGCAAAGGGTTTGGAGATCAGTTCCTGCCTAAGAAAGGCAAGTTTCTTCTTGTAAGATAGGAGTGAACACTGTGGAACAAGGGCTGAAAGTTCATTGGTTCACAAATTTGAGGAAATCTGTGTTTAGCTGGAAGTGGATCTCTTTCTTACACTCTCCAGAACATAAGGATTTTTCTTTTTCCCCCACAGGAATTTAAAGGAGTGAACAGACTAGAATGAGAGGTTGATTTAGTGAGAGAAATGTTACTAAAAGTATTTGTAGTCTGACTGGTGCTATGTGTTAAGAGAGTCTCTGTCCTTACAGAAGGAAAATCAGGTTGATGCAGTAAAGTCTGCAGCTGATCCTGGAATAATGGTGATTGTGGAACCCAGAGCTGGCCCCAGTTCATCTCTTAAACACACCAGCAGTGACAGAGGGCTACAGCAACAGCAAACAAGGACACAGGAAGGAGCAGGTTTTGATTCCAGCTTTCCTGGGAAAGAGAAGAATGTTACACCAGTGCCTACAATCGTTATGTGTGGCAGAGAAATCTCCAGAGTAGATGGGGATGGCCGTGCTCAAGGAAGACCAGAGAAAGAATCCTCCTTCCTGGGACCTGGAGAGAACAGAGAACAGTCTGCTCTGCCACATGGTTCCCATGAGAAGACTCATCCAGGGCCATCACTGAGCAGAGAGCAAAATAAAGAGAGCAGTGGGCAGCACGTGGTCATTGGAGAGCCCCATGTCCCTACATCAGTCCTGCTGACATCTCAGTCCAGAGAGTTGAAGGTAAATGTTAAACCAATGCTTTGCTTATTTTCTTTCCTAAGTCAACAGAATGATGGGGAGGAAGGGCCAGGAGAATGTTACCTGCGCTATTCCCACTGTGTAAATTGGAAGTTGGGGTCAGAACTGTTCCCAGCTATAGCAGCCAGGGGCTGTTGGCAGTTTGTTCAGGCCCTGTTTCCTTAACCAGTGAACTGAAAGACCAGAAATCCGTAACATTTCACTTTGAAGTTCCTGTCTTTTGCATGTGTTATCCACGTGCTGAGGGAGAACAGGCAGGTGCAGTGCTGCTGTTCCACAGTCTGCCTCCTTAGGCATGAAGGGCAGGCCCTGGTTCTGATCATCCTCCAAGGCAGAACAGGTTGCCTCATCTTTGGGGATGTGTGTTACAGCTCATCATTTTGTTTAAACCACTAAAAATTCCTGCCTTACTTGGGCAAGTCCCTGCCTCCTCTTTCTCTTTTGTTTATTGACAAGACAAAGGGCTGCTGAGCAAATTACTGGTAGAGGCATAGATAGAATCCAGTTTCAAACTAAGGCACAGCTGTCCTATCTGAACAGCTGCCACTTGTCCCCTCAGCTGTACCTCTGAATGTCCTGTCAGGTGATTAGGAAGTCACAATTTATGAATTGTTTTCTTTCAGAAGGAAGCTTCTCATGTGACTTCACAGCCTGACCCTGAAGAAGATACCATAAGTGTCAGCAGCTGCTCTGCCCATCCTTTCCTGGGCTATGACTGGATTGCAGGTGAATCCTAACTCTGAGGCAAAAGTGTGATGTGGTTCTATTAAAAGTTAGAACACCGTTCATGACCCCTTTGAGGTGTGATGGAACTGCTGTCCTAGGGCCAATGGAGCAAGTCCCAGTAAAGGGACAGCTTTGTTTGAGGCCCCTCTCCAGACTAGAGGTGACCTGTGCTCACCTGGAGTGGTGGAGTGGCAGTGGTATGGGAATCCAGGCAGCAAATGGCAAAGGTGAGGTCAGAAGGGATACCAAATACCTGGAATGAATAAATGCCATAAGGGACCCAAACCACACAGTAAACCTCTGGTTTGAGGTGATGTTCTGCCCTTCTCATTATCATTATTTTGTTTTGACTGTGTCTTGTGAGTCTTGCTTTGATACTTTCCCAAATTTTGTAAATCACTGAACTTTCCTCTTTCCTTGGTGTTCTCAGGGCTCCTTGATATAAAGTCTTCAGTCACAGAAGAATCTGAGCAATACTTCACTGAGCTGCAGGAGTTCAGACAGTCCAACAGAGAAAGCTGTGTTCATCAGCAGGACCTGGAGTAAGGGGGAATGAGGAAGGGCTGAAGCAGCAATTTTCAATCCCTCAGTAATCCCTGTGGTAATGAGAACCATAGTCTGATTGGAGCAGGACACTGCAAACTTAGCTTTGAGGGTCTTTATTTACCCTCCCAGTCATGTGTGCTTGGAAAAGGCAGTGCTGTTCAGAGGGCCAGCCCCTCTGTCACTAACTGGTTTTTTTGTGTGTTTCTTTAGGCCCAAGGCTCTGGATTGCACAGGTCCTGAACAGGAACTGGATTTGATAACTGGTTCTCATAAGTGTAAGATTATATTTCTTCCTACTGCAATTTCTGTGAATAAACAACTTAGCTGTCTTTACCTGTCATCCTGAGAGAGCACCACATCATGTAAGACCAGCAAGAATGTGTTGTTTTAAGTTTTGGTTTTGCTTTTTAGGAACTTACTTGGGGACAGGAAATATGTAAGATATTTCAGGAAAAGCAGCTCTTTTTATAGAATGCAGGTGTAGCACTGTGATAGAGCACAGCTTTTTTGGCTGGGTTCAGGCACCTCGTGACAAACAAGAACTACGCTGAAGGTTTGTTGCTCCGTGCAGGTGTTTACTGTTACCGGTTAAACCAGCGCCTCTTCACCATCCCTGTGGATTCAGAATCTGCCTGCCATGTGTGTAAGATGCCACGTACCCACCAGCCCTCAGGGACACTGGAAGAGCCAACCCATGTCAGGTAAATAAGAATTACTGCTTTGTAAGAGGCACAGCTCAAGGAAACAGTAGGGAAGAAAAAGCTGATCAGGTGAAGGAGAAAAGAGCATCACAACAGGTCTGTAGAACAGAAGTTCTGCTCTTTCCAAGGCAGAGATCTCTTGCTTAAAGACTCCTTACTGATCTTCTCTATAAGCATGAACAGTCTTGAAATCAATGACAAATACATGTTTTGTCTGAATTTGGTCCTGAATCTGAATGTACATGTAAAGTGTCTCCTGTCCTAATCCAAAATGGTTCACTTTGGGGCTAGACCCTTGGTTTCTGAGTGGGAGGGCATGCAGATTCCCTGTGCCATGGCAGAGGTGTAGGCAGTTCCTTCCCTTGTGTGGTTCCAGGGTCAGCATTCCCAGGTCTGCCCTCTTGCCAGCCTACAAGTACAAAGCCCATCGCAGGAGGAGCTTTGAGCCGGCCGATGATCTAGCGCTGCCTTCGGTAAGTCGCTGTCTTCCTGTTGATGGCACTGCCCCAGCTGGTCCTTGCTTCATAGCAAGAAGGAAAGAGAATCTGGGACTCATTCTCTTGGCAGAGCTTCCACTAGAATTCTTGATATGCATGGGTGAGATACCCAGAACATCCTTTGGTGTGCTCTGGGTTCATGCCTTTGTGTGAGGGACATAAAGTGTATATGATATTTCCAGTGCTTTACACTGCACAAAAGAAAATTCTATGTGGAGCTGTATCCTTTTGGGACAGATATGCCTGACTTGTTTCAGGCATTGGCCTCTCAACATGATGAAGCACAGCTAAGAGTGCCTGTGTTTGTTTCCACAGATGTTAAGGAGTCTGAAAGGCAAGTGTCTATGAAGTGTTCACAAAATTAGTAGTGGCAAGGGTGGATTTAAAACTGCTGTTGTATTGCTGATCCTGTATTCCAGCCAGTAGTCAGCGCTGCAAGCAGTATTGCTAATCTAACCTAGCCCAGGCCTAGAGATTTCCAGGGAAGAGGTGGGAGGAAGCTTGATTTTGAGGTTTAGGGAACTGGATGAGTCAGCTGAGACAAGTTCAGAGGGGTCAGATACTTGAGTTCACGAAGTGAAAAGATCAGTTTAGAAAGCTGGAAGAGGGGACAGCTGTGTAGTTCTCATTTATTTGAGATTTCATTTATTTAAAAATGTAAACATTTCAAAAGTTTTATTTAAAATAATAGATTAATTACTCACTTAAACCTCCCTCTGCAAAAAGTTAGTTCTAAATAATAACAGGCCACAATAGATTAAAAAGGGTAAAACATTCCCATCTATTTTCACAGCATTGCTTGGCTGGCTGGGAAAATATGGTCCCTTCCAGCAACGCCCTGCTCAGCAGTTTGGATCTGCGAGCCTCACTGGAAGAGAAGCCTTCTCCCTGTCCTGTGGTAAGCACAGCCTCCAGAGTCCCAGGAGATGCTGGGAATTCACAGATGGAAACTGTGGCCCTGTCTCTAAAGGGTGTGATGATTATTGAGGGCTGAGCAAATGAAAATGCCTGGAGGAGTGTCTCCTTTACACTGCTGGGAAATGTTTTCCTTCTGCTGATTGGTGTGTGCAGAGAAAAAAGAGCAAATGGAGCTGAGTTACAGGCAAAAGCCTGTTCAGCTCACCAGTCTTCATCAAAATGGGAAAAGTCACTTTGGCATTCTTTGATTAATACCCTCTTTATTTGGATTCCAGGGCTCATTGTCCAGGGTGTCAGGAGAAGCCAGAACTGACAAGTTTCTACACCTGCCTCACTTGGCACACCCGAGGTTTAGCAGAGCAAACCAGGACCAAAGACAGCAGCTCTCAGTTCAGAGCCCATTCCCTCAACACTCTGGACCACTGACTTGATTGCCTTGGGAAAGGGATGGGCACAGCACATGGAAACAGCTGAGAAACAAAGATATTTGGATAAAAATAAATCTTTGGATGGATTTTCCCCGGTTTTCATAGTCATGCAGTGAGCAGATAATATACAGATCTGAGTTTGTACAGTCCACTGTGTTCACTTTGCATTTTTTGCCTTTTACAGCTACTTCTGAGCAGCTGCCTGAGCTGTCCCAGCTAGGGCTGGATAAAGTCGTGTCCAGGATCAGTAGTGCATCTCCCACCTCAACTGAGTAACCAGCAGTGTAGCATTAACTCTGAATTAATGGTGAGGAATTGGCCTGTGAAGGTCCTGGCTCAGTGCAGTGACACAAATATGTTTATTTCCAAGTATTTGAAACATAACACACAATTTTCTAGTGCCTTAAACTTGAGTTCTTCAATAATTTGTAAAAATTTTTAAAGTCCAGTTTATTCTCAGTGCAATGTGTGTAGCTACAGAGTGTGTTACTTCAGAGTAACTTGGAATGTGAAAAAACACCTTAAAGTAAAATGAGATTTTATTCATCAATGAGCTAGATAATGCCTTAAAATCTTTGCAAATTTTGCTTGCCTCTATTTTTCCAAGTTTCCTGGAGATAAACCAAAAAAGCATTTTAGAATTTTTAAATTGTACCAAACTAAACTACTTCATATAGAATGTGATTTGTTTGAACTTTATAGACCAATCTTATTTTTCTTGTCTGGAAACAATAAAACTGATGTTTTGTTTTACTTTGAATTTTCTGAAACAGAAATTCCTGCCTCAAATGTATTTTTGGGAGCTAACTTGAGAGAATGAATTTAGTTTGTGCAGCATTTCCAGGGAGAATCAGGAGAGGGTGGTGTGGGGCGGGTTTTGGGGTTGTGGGTTTGGAACACTGAAATGTTCTGATGATTTCCTAAGCCTCAAAATAATACAAATATTGGACTTGATTGTGTAGGCACAGAACTATGGGATAGCTTGTCTGCTCTCCCTGGAGGTAGGCTTGACCTGGATTTATGTTTTTTCCCCATTTCTAGCACTTAGGAACGTGCTGGTTTAATTTGGGAAGCTGTGTATCCTGTGAATGGCTGGCTCTGGGTGTGCTCATCTCAGTTCTCTTCTGCCTGATGTTTTGGTAGTCAAGCTGGTGGTTTAGTTCCCCTTCCTGATTATTACATGTATATAACACTGATTCATGAGATGGGAAATGCAGCTTTGCTTAATGAGGCAAATGAGATGCAGTAAATTACGTATTTGTGATTGATTTGAACAGAGCAATGTAGTTCAGCTGTTAAAATACAGCTCCCACCTCCTTCTCAGAACCAGTGTCAGATGGCCTTTAGTGTTTGTTTGCCTTCTCTTGAGATCATTTTCGTGGTGTCTCAGGTTCAGGTGTTTCTTGCTGTCAGTACATTATAAGAATTAATATCAAGAGTTTTGAATTAATGTAGTGCTGATTTATGTGTTCTGTTTTGTTATGAGCACATCAAGCAGTGACTCTCCCCAGAACTCCCAGGTGAAACAGCTGCATGTGGCTTGAACTTGCTTTTTGAATCATTTGCAAACTTTGATTTTGGGGCTTTCATCTCTTTGGAACTTGTGTTTTCAAAGTCCATAAAAATTTGCTTGCAGAATGTCTCAAATTTGAAAACACAAGAGAAGTTCTTCCCCTTCTCTTTGGAGTCAAGCCCCTCAATTGCACCAGCTCCCTGGATAATGGCAGACCAAAACTAAGGACTTGGTTTTCTCCCTTCCATTGGTTTCTGCAGAGCAAGACTGCCAGGAAGAAGAAAAACACCCTAAATTTTTAGGGCTGAGACGCTCAATTAGTCAAAGAAAAGAAGTTTTACAGTCTTTGGAAAAACCTACATCCTGAAAATCTTCCCCTTTGATTCTTTCACAAAAATTATTTGATATTTCCCATGTTTCTTTTGTTCATGTTCACACAGGGAAGTTCATCTGGCTTCTGTTGTTAAGCTTTAAAGCTTTAAAACTCAGCTTTTAGGTGAGGAGAACCAGAGTATCAAGAAGGGATACAAGCTATATACATATATATATATATGTATATATATATATATATATATCTACAAGCTATAATGAGCTACCCAAAAGGTCTGTGACACTATGGGGAACTAATGAGTCCCACTTCTGTGTTTTAACCACCTGGCCAGTCTTCCCCAAACTTTTTTTATTTTCTATTTGGGATTAAAATGTATAGAATGGGAGCTCTTGGTGCTTTTTCAAACTGCTTTACCAAGAGCTTTTTCTATGGAGAATGACCATGTGTAAGTGTAGCACCCTTCCAGAAGCTGCAGTCAGAATTACTGAAAGTACAGACATGGTGTGATCTCTCATCTAAGGTCATTTCTCTCTCTCCCTCTCCCTCTCTGTCTCTCCCAGCCTGTGGGCATAGTAATTCTGTGATATGGTTTTGGTTTCTTTCATGGAAGCCTTGTCTTTCTTGAGAGAACTGAGTTCTGTGTCAGCTCTTCTCATTTTTCAGTCTGACTCAAAATCTACTTTAGTTTTGATGCTACTATGGGGGCAGTAAAAGACATTTTATACAGATTTTTTTTGTTGTTAGATTAGTTATTTTATCCCTTTAAGCAAGGCAGTAGTATTACTTGAGATAATGAAAACAAAGGTATAAGATTTTTTATCCAAGTAAAATCTTTCTAAATGACATGTAGAAGTGTAAGTGGAACTTAAGACAGGTTATCTTTATTATTAATGTGCTAACCTCTTTTTTTCCTGAAGGTAGCCAATTTTAAGCCATTGCTACATTTTAACAAGTGTGCAACAAGAGCTTTAAACCATCTTCGTTGTTGATCACAGTGGACAAATACACCAAGGTAAATTTCTGAATTAAGACAGCTCTCAGATCATGTTCTCAAGAGCACCTGCAGTGTATTTAAGCCATTAAAGTGACGTAATTAAATAGATTGACAAATATTTAATACTAAGAATGAGCAGTGTATGTGCCAGCAAATAAATACCAGTACCAGAGTGGCACAGAGGGACAGAATTTTGCCAATCTCTGGCATAAATGAGGTTGTATTTCTTCTTTCATGTAGGATTTCAAACACTGTGTCAGCTACAGGCAGTTCAAACCCTGATGGGTGTGTGATGTATCTCAGTGAGATCCCAGTGCTGCTCTCCCTCCTGTCGGTCCTCTGGGCTGTGGAAAGATTTACTGAGAAGTTCAGTGTTTGGCTTTTCTTACAATGCCTAAAATCAGCAGGATCCTGCATGCTGTGTTGTCATCACAGTGTCACCATCCATCCCCAGAACAGCTCTTTGATGGCTAAAACGCCTAAATAGATCAAGAAAGGCTGCAAGATTAATTCTTGGCATTCTTCCTCTCAATTTCTTGTTTTTCTTCTTTTAAACCTGCGATTCTTTGCACTTTTCATTGCAGGAAATGCCTTAATTTCCCTTCTCTTTTAGTTTGTACCCCAAGGTATGTGGTGTGTATCTCAGCCAGCCCTGCTTTTGCTACTCCTGGGGCTCCTCAGGAAGTTTCAAGCTCTGGCATTGTTTCATCTGGGTAATGAGCAAGAATTTGGTGGTTTTTTTATCAGCACACTGCTGACAAAATGCTCTTGATGTTGTTTCACCAGTCCTACAAGTATGATCCAGAGCCAGGTGATTTATAGGGATCCTTGGAGCACACAGAATGCCAGATGGAAAGTGCCAAAGATGCACACAGAACATAAAGCAGGTACAATTTCTGTGTGTTTAGTAAATTAGTATAACTGACAAGAATCCCCAATTAGAGGCACAGGTCATGAAGTAACTCCTCCCTGGTTCTACCCTTTCTGAAACCCTCCACCCTCTTAGACAGAAACTAAATTTTGTTTATGAAAATGTTTCTCAGAAAGCTGGTTTCAACCTTGGCTCCCAGAGAGTCAAACCTTGAATCCCCAGGGCTTGGAGCCACCAGGGAATTTATTTTGTCTTTTTGTCTAATAGGGTGGGTAAAATGCTAACTACAAACACAGTAACAGGCTACAGAGCTACAAATATATATTTAAAGAATACAGAGAATATATAAAGGCAAAAATCAATTTGGCATCATTCTGAATAGCAGCACTGACAGACACTGAAATACAGATTTTAGACAAGGTATTTTAATATGTATCCTTTTAAATTTCATGGTCTTTTTCATCTGTCTGACAGAAGTTTAGAGATGACACTTGTCATTTTTTCTTCCCTCACACAGCTAGATGTATATTAATTAGCTGAACATACGTATTCAAAAGCAGAAGAAACCATGGTAAAAGTACAACATGAGACTAAAATCAGCTACTTCAGAATTAGAGAATGTCATGAGTAGTTTTGCTTGTGCACATGTGTAGCAATGCTCCTTCTGGAGTGTTCCATGGCCAGGCTCTCAGAGCACAGTGAGCAGACTTTGCTGAAGGGATGTTTTGGGATGTGGTGGAGACTTTCCCTTGAGGCTTAGTTGGGTCTCTGCATTCTCTTGCTCCAGGTATCAAGTGGCATTTGAACAACCCCTGACTTACAGGAGGTTTTCTGAATTGGTTAAACTAGAAAATGCCAAGAAATCTTGTCTGAGAGCATCACTACCTTTAACACCTAAAGCAAAAAGTGTTCCAAATATACATGTAATAAATAAACATTATAAATAATAACAGCATGCTCACAGGGGCTTCCTCTATTTTCCTGACAGATGCAAGAACAGAGAATAAGGGGTTGATTGTTTGCTTCTATTTGTTCTGTGGGGTTTTTTTTCATATTAATATAGGAGATTATTTTCTAGGAAATGGAGCCACCATGTAGAGAACAGCAGCGTGGGTTTGTTATAAAATGGGGGTGCTCCTTCCAGTCACTGAAAGGACTTCTTTTGGAAAGCCCCTTTTGTTGTATTTGAAATCAAAACACACAAAGTCTGAAAAACTGCATTCACTTGGAAATGCATGCAGGCTGGGATGTTCCTGTGGAATAAACTCTTCACCCTCTTTATTAATGTTGCTTTTATTACACACTTCCAATAACATTTTGTCTTGTAACAGCCTTTCCGAAAAGCCAGCAGCAACAATAAGCATTTTCCACTTCCTATCCTTTTAAATATCTAATGCAATCAAGAAAGAATTTAAGAAGTTCAGGGAAGACTGGCAGATGGGAAGCCCAGTTTCACTTTGGATGAATTTTTCTTCTGAGGAGCACCCTGGAGCCTTCCCTCAGTGAGTGCCATCAGCAACTTATCCCTTTACCCAAGTCATCTTGTTCCATGGATCTTTGTAGAATTTAATGGCATTGCTGTCTCAGACAAATCTGAATTAAGTTATCCGATGGATTTTAAAAATATTGACACCATTCATTAAAAAGGAACTGATATACATGTATATAAAAAATGCTCAGTACGCTTGTTTCAATCTTACTTCCTCTGGAAAACAGGCCAGAAAACTCTCCCTGGTGCCAGTTCTGGGAAAAAAGTCTTTTACACTGAGATTTTTGCACTCACATAAGTGATTGTTGCATCAGATACTCTGACTTCAGCAGTATAACTTAAACCTTCCAGGCTCTCTATGATGTTGGTGCCTGTCCTTTTGCTAGAAAAACTTGGATAGGGGCTGATAAGAGGAAAAAAAAGCCAAACACAGAGGGGAGGGAAAGAATACAAACAGATCTCATCAATTGTCCTGACTACTGTCATTTGAAACTGCATTAATAAATTGGGAGAATTGCCTAATGGAATATCACTACAGAAGATTAAGATGTGTTCTAGCCCATTATTTAATTA